TAAACATAGTGTGCCTAATGCACATAAGTATATAAATGCTGTCTGTTTTTTGTCAAAATCTATAATGAAAAAATATCAGGTTTTATATTAAGTTAGATGATTTCTCTAGAAACATAGCACGAAATTTGAATACATGGTAAAGATACAAAACATGGTTTCTATTTCAGAAAAATCAGCAACCTCTTCATAAATATAGTTAATCTATAAACACTCAATGATGTGTTCGGCGATTCCAAATATTACCTAGCATTGAAACTGTGGTTTCGATCACTGAAAATGAGAAAAAAAGAGGTTCGTATTCAGTTCCCAAAATATCCCATGGAACTAAAACTAGTAAATCATCAGATAGATACAAAAATTGTAAATATAATTTGAGAAATGATCGCTATTTAATCTCAAAAATGAATAAATGAAGATTTTGCTCGACACAGAAGTCAAAATCTTTACATCTATCTGATGATTTAACGATATTTGTTTCTTTAAGGGCCCCCCTTTCCCGACCCAAACAAAATTTTTTTTCGATTTTGAGGTTTTCATTTCTAAAGATGTATCGAAGTGTCCTTTATCAAGTGCCGTAAGAATTATAACTATGTCAAGCCGTATAAGCACTGAAAAAGCTTAGTTTCGAGAACCCCTATCTTGAAAAAAAGCGTATATTTTTTTAGATGGCAATTTTGTGAGTTTATATTGTTTGTTAAACGTTTCTTTTTTATAGATTATCGATCATGATAAGCCTGTTGATGATGACCAGAGTTATATATTGTTTCAGTCTTGCGACAACCTCAGGCAGTTTCGAACATCAATCAAGTTTCTCTAATACAAAGTTGCTTCTTTCTGTTTCAGGTATCTTTTATTTTCTTGTTGATCTGTTCAATACAAATTCTGACAAAATAAGAAAGTAGTTTCACAGAAGTACTTGAAATTATCTAAAAGATACTGATAAAGTAAACAAGTTCTGAACATAAAATATTCAATATATCAGAAAGCAGAGAAATCATGACTTGTATTTATCAACTCCTTCAATGAGAGATCTTCTTTGACAAATGAGGAGTCTCATTTAATCGTATGAATATTTCTTAGAAACAGCTCTTTATATGCACATTTGATGCTCAATAAAAGATAACCTGTAATAATTCGAAATGAGCAAAAAAGAAAAACCATACATGCAAAAAAAGAATTTTTACTTTGTTTTGTGTTTTTCTCAAAATCTATTTTTTAACAAAAAAAACGAAGTTTTCCCCCTTTTCTCCTACACGGTATGTCCGATCGGGCTCAAACTTTTTTATGAGTACTTTAATCAAATTGGGGTGCGTATTTTTTTTTTCTTAAAAATGTTGTTCCTACGAAATTTGGCAGCCCTTTAAAAATTAGTACTATTGAAAAAAACATGTTTTTAGAGGGTGCTTCGAGTATTTTGCTTCTCCTGAGCTCTAGAAACGATATTTAAAAAAAAAAAAGAAAAACACGCACCCCAATTTGATCCTAGTTGTCACAGAAAAAATTTCAGCTCGAAAAAATGAAGTATAGAGATTTGCGGGGGCGCGGGTGGGGACCTTCGAGCCATTTTTAGCCTTTGCGACCCCCATATCTTCCCGAAGGA